GGTGGGATGGGAACGATGACACGCCACAGCTGCATTTTTATTTGGAAACTTTGGAGAAAGTGTTCCTGACTAGACCCGAATTCCGTGTTCCACGGGGCCAAGACAAGCCCTTTGGATATCCCCTCCCCCTTTATCTAGCGACAAAGTGACACAGTGAAACTAACAGTACCAGGGCTCTCTGGTCACTGTCCACGTTGCCTTGTAGTACAAGCCAATTCTCTGAACCAAAAAGCACCCACAGCAGCGATCTCAAATGTTCCCAATTTATGGGGTTTTTTTTGTTTGTTTGTTCGTTTTTGCTTTTGGTTAGCAGCGGTGATCGGTTTTGTTTTTTCAAAGAAACGGGAGTTAAAGGGCTAGGCAGATAGGCTTCCTCACAAATTTCAGGCTTCGGTCACCTACCCCCTACATAGGCGTCCTCCCGTGCCCTGCCCACTCTGGGCTTCTGAGGTCCAAGCGGCCAGTCATCAGGATCACAGCGCTGAGCACTGTTGCCCGCCCCATTTGGAGAACTTGATCGCTCTGGAGAAGCAACTCTCAAGCCAGTGTGCTTCATGCTGGTTGCAAGTTAAATGACAAGTGACGGTGAAGCCAGTGTCCTTCACTCTGCTTTCTGCTAGAGCTGTCAGGCACTGGGGGCAGGGGCTTCCTGTTGGAAAATTTGATTGGAATTCTGCCCTGCCTTCCAGTTTGCCTCCATTCCTTACTGTGTTTCTTCTTTGTCTCTGTCACAGTCAGGATGGCTAAAGGGGACCCTAAGAAACCAAAGGGCAAGATGTCTGCTTACGCCTTCTTTGTGCAGACCTGCAGAGAGGAGCACAAGAAGAAGAACCCAGAGGTCCCTGTCAATTTTGCAGAATTTTCCAAGAAGTGCTCCGAGAGGTGGAAGGTATTCTTTTGCTTCCTTTGCGTTTCACATTTGACTTTGCAGTCCCTGTTCTCCCCTCCTCAGACCATCTTTAGGGCCTCAGAGGTGTTTTAAGGCTCTGTGGGGCTTTGACGGAGAAGGCTTGGTCCCCTCTGCCTGTAATGGCGACAGCTGCTGCTTGGGTCACAGGCCGGTATCGCAGCGTGCCGCTGGTATGGAGGGATTTGAACAGGGCTTGTTCTTTACAGACGATGTCTGGGAAGGAGAAATCGAAGTTTGACGAAATGGCCAAGGCAGATAAATTGCGCTATGACCGAGAGATGAAAGATTACGGACCTGCAAAGGGAGGCAAGAAGAAAAAGGACCCTAATGCCCCCAAAAGACCACCGTAAGTGACTGCGGGATTGCAAGTGACAGGACCTTTCCTGTGGACTTTGACATGCAGTGTGACTGTGGCCTACAATTCATCCCACAGTGTGTGCGAGCTGTGGGGCCTGCCATTCTTTGCCTCCGAAGGCAGCACCCCTAGTCCTCCGGGGGCTGGGGCTCCCCAGGTGTGTTTACTCCATGCGGGAACTGGAAAGTAGAAGCTGCAACACTAGCAGCATCTCCAGTGTGGAGGAAGAACTTCCAGAAGAAAAGTGTGGGCTCCAGGATGGGGGAATGCGACCTGAGCTCATATTTCTCTGTGGATCCTTGTCTAATTTGTATACTTTTTCTCTTCTCCACCCACAAGGTCTGGATTTTTCCTGTTTTGTTCAGAATTCCGCCCCAAGATCAAATCCACCAGCCCTGGTATCTCCATTGGAGACGTGGCCAAAAAGCTGGGTGAGATGTGGAATAACTTGAGTGACAGTGAAAAGCAGCCCTACATCACCAAGGCGGCGAAGCTGAAGGAGAAGTATGAGAAGGTAAGGCGGCCGGCGAGGAGCCATCTCCCCAAAAGATCGCCTGTGTGCCGGCTGGTGTCCCCGTGTCGGACAGGTCTTGGGGGTCCAACTTTAGGCAGGCTTACAATTTTGTTTTTTTTTTTTTTTTGCGGTGCTACGGATGGAACCCAGGGCTTTCACACTAGGGTCTCACTGAGTTGCTGGGCCTGGGCTCAAATTTGGGCACCTCCTGCCTCAGCTTCCCAGAGTCCTGGGATTATAGGCATGTGCCACCATCCCTGCTTTCCAGCTTGACAATTTAAGGGAAAATAATAGGGCAGAGGATGCAGCCCAGCCTGTGTGTATGCATAAAAAACCCAGTTTCAACAAGGCAGTTAACATGAGTCAAGGATGCTTGAAAACCAATGTGCCCCCCCCCCGCCCCATTCCTTCCAGGATGTGGCCGACTATAAGTCTAAAGGAAAGTTCGATGGTGCCAAGGGTCCTGCTAAAGTTTCCCGGAAAAAGGTAGAAGAGGAGGATGAAGAGGAAGAGGAGGAAGAGGAGGAGGAGGAGGAGGATGAATAAAAAAACTGTTTCTCTGTCTCCTTGTGAGTCCCTTAGAGTAGGGGAGCGCCGTGACTGACCATCTCTTAGGTTAAATGCCAGCCGGATTGCCATCGTGTAGTCTCTCAAAATGCTCCAGAAGTTGGCCACGGGGGTCTGGAGCACTGTGGAACTGTATCAAAGCTGTACATATTTCCAAACATTTTTAAACTGGAAAGGCACTCCATGTTCTCGCTCTGTGCACTTTGCTGTTGGTGTGTAAAGGCGTTTGAAGATGTCTCTGGCATTTGTTTGTTTTTTTGTTTGTAAGGTGGTGTTGACTATATGGTTATTGGCTAGAAACCTTTAGTTACCAACTGTACATATCTAGAGTTTGTAAAAAGAACAAAGCAATCCAGGCAAACCCTCAATGCCCCCTGCTTGGCACTGAGGGTGTGGGACAAATGGTCCTGGGAGGGGACCGTAGAGCTGTTGTTGCTATGGTGGCCGACCAGTTAGCTTCTGTATATAGAGTGATCTAGCATCCCACTGCCACCCTAGCTGGGGACAGAGAGGGTCAGCTGGCATGAGAAGTGTTTGGATTCATTATTGTTGCATTTTTTTTAGTTAAATGCGGTAGATGGAAACTGTTTGCTTCCAAACAAAAACTGTGCAACTCTTCATTTTCGGCAGAGAGCCAATGAAGGTTCAAGAAACCTCTGTACTTAAACAGGATTTGCAACGTTGTGTTATTTTTTTTGTATGTTTAGACTGCTGAAATGTTTTCCAAGTTAAATAAACAGTATTACATTTTTCAAAATCTTCTCTATGATAACAGTGCACATTTCTGACCCACAGCAGTCTGGCTAGAATCACCTGCTGTCTGTGGCACTGCTAACTCTTTGTTGTAAAATTTAATTCTGTGTGTGTGTGTGTGTGTGTGTGTGTGTGTGTGTGTGTGTGAGTGTTTGAGACAATCTTTGTGCAGTTCAGGCTGGCCTCAAACTCCTAGCGGTCTTCCTGCCTCAGCCTGCTGGGTGCTAGGGTGACAAGTACACACCACCGCTGTAGTGGTTAACTGAGAGCTTTGGAGCATCCTGTGCCCTGTCAGGTCTTGGGTGGGCAGGAGTCTCATGGTCATGATCACAACCCAGTCTGTCCCCAAAGCTATGGGCGATGCCGAAACTGTCTTAAGCTTTCTGTAGTTCTGCACTCACCTAAGCCTGTGGCTCCAGTGTCACCCCATGTGTCACAGCCCTGTCCTTGTCATTCTGCATCCTGGACTATAGTCCACCCGTGGCACATGGGCAAGAGATGCCTGGCCTGTGCCCTTCTGCTGTAACTCACCATACCACCATGGGAGGGCAAAAACCCAAAGAGCTAACTTTCCAAACTCTTGATCCTTCTGCCTCAGCCTCCCAAATGTTGGAATTACTCATGCCCGACTAAAAGGTAACTTTATTTTCAGACAGGGTCTCACTGTGTAGCCCAGGCTGGCCCATACCTCACAGGCATGATCCTGCCTCAGCCTCCTGAGTGTTGAGCGTGGTCACCACGCCTGGCTGTTACTATTTTTGGGAGGTTGGATGCTTTCAGTTTTTTTGCTTTTGGTACCAGGGCTCGAATTCAGGACCTTGCAACTAGCCAGGCAGGTGCGGTGCCACAGAGCTACATCCCGGCCCAGCTGCCTTCCGTTTCTGTAATAAACTCTCACTCAGTCCTCCCCAACGTAATCAGCGGCAGCTTGTAGTCTGAGGCGGTGTGGCGCGGTTGATTATATTCGGAGTTCCAGCACCAACCTCTCACCCTGCACCTGAGCTGCTAGCATTTAAGGGGTGCCGCATGGATGTACCTTTCGCCGGGGCTCAGCGCCGAAGCTGTGCAGGCACCTGTTGCTTGAGGGTGTGGGTGCAAGCTTCCCCAGAGTTCAGCGGCCAGGGCCCCTGGGCAAGGAAACCCAGGCGGGAAATGAGGATAAAGCTGCATTTGCATGTGCCAGGTCCTTGAGGGATTTCCAGATAAAGTTCTCAGAACAAGGAAACGGACTCAGCAGAGAAATACATAAAAATGGGTGTGTAGTATGTACCATCCAGAATATGAATTCAAAATTAATGGAGTATTTATCACTCAGCTGTAAAGAAGGAAATGTCATCTGCACGGAGATCACATGCATGTTGAGTGCAATAAGCCCGACTGAAAGAAGTATCGGGTGTTGTGCCTAGTGGAATTGAAGAAAGAAGGGAGACTAGTATTTTAAAAAGTTTTTTTTGAGACAGGGTCTGGGTATGTAGCTCAGGCTGGCCCTGAGCTCACTGTGTAGCCCAGGCTGGCCTTAGACTCCTAGGCAATCCTCCTGCCTCAGCCTCCCAAGGGCTGGGATGACAGGTACACACCATGCCCTGCCCAGAAAGGAAGTTAGATAAGGGGAGGCAGGTAATGGGGGAATGGACATGATTAAAATATATCTTAACTGCCAAATGTGAAATTAGGCCGATGGCATTGAATGAGGGTTGATAAAGGGGTTAAAGAAAAAAAATTTGTTGTATTTCTATGTATCAATGATGAATGACGTAAAAATGAAACTAAGCGATTCCATTTCTAATATCAAAAAGTCAAATATTTAGGAATTTAATGAAGTACAAGATGGGCAAGATAGCACACACTTGTCATTCTAGGAGGCTGAGGCAGGAGGATTTTGGCAAGTTTGAGATTAGCCTGGGCTTCCTAGTAAGTTCAAGCCCAGTCCAAACTACATAGCAAGACTTGTCTCAAAAAACTGAAGCCAGAGGGGTTGCATTTCTTGATTTCTACAAAGTTACAGCTGTTTGGAGGAGCTTGCTGATGCAGGGCCAAAATCCCCAAAGGTATCAACCTGCCAGAGTCATAGCCTCTGCCATCTCCCAAGGGTTTGTCCAGCTGGGACCAGCCCTGCATTAGTCCGAGGCTGCATGGGGGACCCAGCCTGCCGCTCACGCCTTTGGGGACATCTCCAGCATTGCCTATATGGAAGGCAAGCTCCAGAGTAGCTGTGGAGGGGACAGTGAGGCCTGCCAGGGAGGCAGGGCGGCATTTACAAGACACGACCGATGTAAACTAGGTAAAACAAGCTGTCATCCCAGCACTTGTGAGGCTGAGTCAGGAGGATCACCATCAGTTTGAGGCTAGCCTGAGCTACAGAGTAAGACCCTATCTCAAAACAAAACAGTAAACTCTGAGATGATGGATATGAAAGTTGGTTTGACTTTGCTAATCACTTTATATATTTTTGGAGCCAGGGTCTCACTGTGTAGCCCAGCCTGGCTCGGAACTTGTGAAGATCCTCCTGCCCTAGCCTCCTGAGTGCTGGCATGACAAGGGTGTGCCACCACATCCGGTGAGACCCTACTTCATCCTAGAATATACACAGGGCCAGGGGTGTAACTCAGTGCGAAGGCCTTGGGTTCAATCCTCAGTACGAAGAACACAAAATCGGACAAAGCAAAAGAGGCCCAAGGGGCTGCAGGTTCGGAGGAAGTGTATGCAGCTGGATCCATGCCAGGCCTGCCGTCGGTCTACACAGCCTACTGCCCTCTCCCCCAGCCCCAGGCTGGAGTGGGAACTGTCAGGCTGGATTCTCCCAGGGAGTCAGGCTCCGCCCCCGGGCTCAGTGCCACCGTGGCAATGTTGACTGCAAAATGTGACAGTTCCTATGTTGCTGTCCCCCCTCCCCCGGCCAAACCCTCCTGCGTGTGCATGAGGAGGGGCTGATGTCTCGCAGGAATGTCGGGCTAGCCTTGACATTTGAAACAAATCCTCGGGCTCTGCAGCTGCTTTTGTTTCTGTATCAAATCAAAAAGTCTCTTCTGCTTACATCTATGGAACAAAAGCAGCCAGAGGAGGAGTATAATCGCCAACGTCTCAACCATTTTTGTTGGTGTGCTTTGTTTTTTGACACAGGGTTTCAGCTCAGGCTGGCCTTGAACTCACGGTGATCCTTCTGCCTCCTCCTCCTGAGTTGCGGGGTTGACAGGCGTGCGTCACCATGCCCACCTTGCAATAGGGCTTTGCCAGGCAGCCTCAAGCGCTGGCTGTGTAGCACCACTGGCACATTTGATTTATTAGAAGCAAGTTGTCAGGTGTGGTGGTCCACAAGTTCATGGCCAGGCCCAGAGTGGATGAAGCCCCTGAGATGCAAGTCCTCCCCACACAAGTCACATGGAACGTGACAGCCACCGTACACAGGCCTGGTGACAAGGGGAAGGGGGTCACCAAGGCGCCTGGGACTCACAGCCAGCCCAAAGCCCAGCCGGGGAAGTGGGAAGTTCTTTGTGTATTTGCCACACTTACATTTACGATCTGTTCAGTTTTTTTGCGGAATATATTTATTTAGCTAGTTTTGGTTTTGAGACAGGATCTCGCTTTGTAGTTCAGGCTGGCCCTGAACTCACTCTGTAGCCCTGGCTGGCCTCAAACTTCTGGTGATCCTCCTGCCTCAGCCTCCCAAGTGCTGGGATGACAGATGTGCGCTGCTGCCCCCAGCTTGACCAACAACTTCATAACTTACTTCCTCTCTCCTTTCTTTTCATTTGTCCTTTTTCTCCTCCTTCCCTCCCTTCTTTCCTTCCTGCCTTTCCTTCTTTTTTTCTTTTCTTTTTGCCATACTGGGGGTTGAACCCAGATCTTTTGCACTGAGCACTGAACTACATCTCCAGCCTTCCACTTTTTTTTTTTTTTTTTTTTTTTTTTTTGAGACAGGGTCTTGCTATGTAGCCCAGGCTGGCCTCGAACTCATGGTGATCCTCCTACCTCAGCCTCATGAGTGCAGGAATGATAGGCGTGCACCACCACACCTGGCCTAATTTTACAGTTTTTTGTTTTGTTTTAAACAGGGTCTTGCTCTGTAGTTGAGGCTATCCTTGAGTTTGTTATGTAGCCCAGGCTGGCCTCAAACTCGTGGTGATCCTCGTGCCTCAGCCTCCCAGGTACTGGGATTATAGGCTAATTCAAATTTTCATTTAGTTTTGCTTTGTTCTGTTTTTTGAGACAGGGTCTCACCACGTAGCCCAGGCTGGCCTCAAGCTCTCAGCAATCCTCCTGCCTCAGCCTCCCAACTGCTGGGATGACAAGTGTGCCTGGCCTCAAATGGGATTTCTGTGGAAGACAGTCTTTAAAAAGATGATGCAGTTTAAATGAATTCATTCCCCTGGGCCCCAACCCAGCCCTAGTGCTACCCTCATGAGGGAGAAGACGCCACCCCTCTGTCCCTCCAAGTTTCTTCACTCACGCTCTGACCCCAAAGGCCACGGCATTTTGACATTTTGAGAACTTCCTAGTGACTCATCAAGCCAAGGTGGGTCTTGGCGGTGTGGGACACTGAGGCACACACAGACATCGGGGATCCAGAGTGGGTCCCTCCTGAGCTGTCGCATGTCTATAGCTGCATGAATGAGCCAGCCTGCAGTCACATGAGATGCCTGACATCATTTCTAGGCGTGGTGGCACTCGGGAGGCTGAGATAAGATGATCCCAGCCAGTTCGAGGCCAGCCTGGGCTACACAGTGAGGCCCTGTCTCCAAAAAATTTCCTCCCTTCCTGAGCTCCTATTGTAGGGAGACTAAGAAAACAGGAATTAATGGAAACCGACATGTACAACACACAGGGTATTGGGCAGAGATAAGGATTAGCATTCTAAGTAGGGTAGTCAGGGCAGCCCTCTCACGAAGGTGACATTTAGGAAGGGCACCGACTCAGACCTATGCTCTGAGCTTCAGGTGCCACACACAAGAACCTAC